TCACAAGACATGCGGGCCCTGCCCCCGCTGCCTGCCACCACCTCGCTGCGCTGCATCTCCCGCACAGCGCTGTGACCTGTCGGCACATTGTCGCCAAAATACAGGAGAAGGGGAGAAGACCCGAGCCAAAACCGGCACATGTACACAGGCCCTCAGGGCCGGCTCTAGGGACCAGCAAACCAAGCCCGTGCTTGGGGCAGCACATTTTCAAGGGCAGCATTCCGGCCAGTTTTTTTCTGTGTGCTTCTGGCAGCAAAAGCCTAGAGCCGGCCCTGGCAGCAGCAGCGCGTCGTGCGCGTGGGGGGAGGGTGGGGCGCCCTGGGGCCGCTGCGGTTCGTGCCGCGGGGGAGCAGCACTCACAGCTTGTGGCTGGGCCGGGCAGGCTCCGAGCGGGGAACACTCAGGCTGGGGGACACCCCACGGGGCACACGGAGCCGCCTGCAGCTGCCGCAGGGCGGCCGCCCCCCAGCGCTGCAGCCGGGGCTGGGCGAAGCAGCCCAAGCCGCCCAGGGGTTGTGGCAGGGCAGCCAGAAGCAGCAGCAGCAGCAGCGGGGTCATAGAGGGCGGGGCGCTGTCGTGCGGGGCCTGCGTCCCGCTCTCCGGAGCTACCCTGCCCCGACTCCTCAGCCCTCTGCCGGGACGGTCACCCAGCTCTGCCCGGCCAGTCCTGGAGGCGGGAGCCCTGGATGGAGGGACCCTGGGCTGAGGCGCAGCCCGGGAGCCCCGCTGCTTACCCTGACCCTGCCAGCGCCGGACCGGCTGGAGGCGAGGGGGGAGCGGGCGGAGTCAGCACTGGTGTGGGGGAGCCCAGGGCTGGGGTGGCAGGGGGTGCAGGTGGGAGGGGGGAAAGAGAGAACCCAGGTCTCGGGTGGGGGGCAGGCAAAATTTTTTTTGCTTGGGGCGGCAAAAAGCCTAGAGCCGGCCCTGCAGATCCTGCTGGGCTGCAGGGCTCTGTCTAGTTCCCCCAGGGAGTTGTGTGAACAGAGGTGAGCCCAAAGGGGGGGCACAGCCAACCTTTGGGAACCACTGGTTTACACAAAAGGAAGTTCCTTGCCCTGGTGGTTACAGAGAAAAGCTTGAAACTGTGACACGAGCGAGCACCTGAAACTCAGAAACCAGGAAGGTGAAGAAAATTATAATTTTTTTTTAAATCTCATGATGGTTTTAGCCAGTCTTGTGATTTTTTTTGCCCGCCTCACATGTTATTTTTGAACATTCAGAGTTGGCGGTACTGGATGTATAGGGAGAGGGGAGGCAGCATGGCCTAGTGGCTAGCACAGCATTCTGGGACGCAGCCCTGCCTTTGAGTGCAAGTCAAGGCGCTGCTCTGTGCCTCAGTTTACCCATCTGTAAAATGCAGCTAATGGGAATTAACATGCTTTCATTTTTCAACACACACGACTACCAGAGCAGATGCTGGGGAACCATCAGTACTGATGGAACTAAACCTAAGGTTTACATTGCAGAGACACCCTCTAGGTTGGAGAGGTTAGTGCAGAGTGTGTGAAACTCTCTTTAGAAACTTTTTGCTGGCGTTTTTGGCCAAATGAAAAACTTGGCTTTGTTGAAAAAACCCAAAAGTTTTTGGCCACCCCTCCCCTCCAGAAAATGTGATTGTTTGATGAAAAATTTAAATTTTCCATGGGGAAAAGTATAACCATCTTCTGAGCCGTTCTAGTGCAGAGAACAAGGTCATTCTGTACGTGTTTCAGTTCAGTATTGTAACTCTCTTCCCAGAGTTATAGATTTTTATGGCCAGAAGAGGCCTTTAGACCATCCAGTCTGACCTCGTGTACAGCAGAGACCAGTGAATGTCACCCAATTACCCTGTATCGCGCCCAGTAACTTGTGTTAACTGAAATATGTCTTCCCAAAAGGCATCCGGTACTGATCTGATGACATCAAGCATTGACAAATCCACTTCCCTCAGGAGTTGGTTCCAACGGTTAATCACCCGCACTGTTAAAAACCTGTGCCTAATTTCTCATCTGGCTTTGTCAGCTTCCGTCCATTGGTGCTTGCTCTGCCTTTCTGCACTAGATTATACAGCTCTTGATTACCCATCTGGGTATGGAAATTGTATGGAGGACCGTGAATGCTCACAACATTGGAGATTAGGGTGTGAGGGCTCCGGCTGGGGGCGCGGGTTCTAGGATGGGGCAAGAAATGAGGAGTTCAGGGTGCGGGGGGCTCTGGGCTGGGGCTGGGGGTTGGGGTGTGCGGGGGGAGGACTCCGGCTGGGGGTGCATGCTCTGGGGTGGGGCTGGGGATGAGGGGTTTGGGGTGCAGTAGGATGCTCTGGGCTGGGACTGAGGGGTTCGGAGGGCAGGAGGGGGATCAGGGCTGGGGTAGGGGGTTGGGGCATGGGAGGAGGTCAGGGGTGCAGGAGGGTGCTCCGGGCTGGGACTGAGGGGTTCGGAGGGCAGGAGGGGGATCAGGGCTGGGGCAGGGGTTTGGGGCATGGAAGGGGGTCAGGGGTGCAGGCTCTGAGTGGCGCTTACCTCAAGCAGCTCCCAGAAACAGTGGCACATCCCACCTCTGCCTCCTATGCAGATGTGCAGTCAGGCGACTCTGCGTGCTGACCTGTCCACAGCCAATGGGAGCTGCAGGGGCGGCGCTTGGGGCAGGGGCAGTGTGCAGAGCCCCCTGGCTGCTCCTATCTGTAGGAGCCAGAGGGGGGACATGCTGCTGCTTCTGGGAGCCGCGCGGAGTGGGGCAAGCCCCAGACCCCACTTCCTGGCAGAAGCTTAAAGGCCAGATTAAAACATCTGACAGGCCGGATGCCACCCTCTCTGTGGTCCCTCTCTGCACCCTCTCCAGTTTCCACTAGGGGTCTCTGCTGGCATAGCTATACCGGCCAAGGCTCTGTAGTGTAGACAAACCCTAAATCTACTTCGGAATGAGAGTGTCCACCCAGGGGATTACTGTGCTTTAATTTATGCAGGTCAACTTCCCCTGTAGTTAATTCAGCTTAACAAGCCCTGAGAAGGGACTCACGCTCAGAGAAATGGCCCCAAGATTCGGCTCTTTGAAGTCCTCCATTTACTTACCCAAGGTAGAAAAGGAAATACTTAAGACCTTTTCCCCTTAACCAGGCTTGGGCATCCTTTTAAAAAAGCGAAAGTGGGCGGAAGCTTTGCACAGAAGGGGCCCTGCAGCTGGGCTTAAGAGCAGGTCTGCTGATCCCCTCAGCCTATCGGGCAGTCGAGCCTGTAGGCCTGGCTTGAGGTGAGAAACTAGATAAGGATGAGGCCACATTTCTCAGAAAGCATGACTGGGGAGGTAAATGGCTCAGCAGGCTGGAGATAGGATGTGTGTATTAGCTAAGAGAAGGGGGACAGTTTACAATGGACAAGATAACACTGGACTGCATACACACGGAACGTAAGATGAGGTAAAGCATAAGTAATGTGTAGACAGAACACGCTGTATGGCAGGGATGGGCAAACGTTTTCGGCAGAGGGCCACATCTGGGAAATTGTATGAAGGGCTGGGGTAGGGGGGTTGGGGTGCGGGAGGGAATGCGGGGTGTGGGAGGGGACTCAGGGCAGGGGTGCAGGAGGGGTGCGGACTGCAGGAGGGAGCGCAGGGCAGGGGGTTGGGGTGCAGGAGGGGTAAGGGGTGCAACAGGGGGCTCAGGGAAGGGAGTTGGGGTGTGGGGTGCGGCTGGGGCTCAGGGCAGGGGGTTGGAGTGCAGGAGGGGTGTGAGTTGCAGACAGGGGGCTTAGGGCACGGAGTTGGGGGGCGGGGTGCAGGAGGAGTTTAGGCTCTGGCCCAGCGCTGCTTACTTAAAGTGGCTCCGGGGTGGCAGCGGCGCACACCGGGGCCAGGGCAGGCTCTTTGCATGCCTGCCCTGGCCCAATGCCACGCCGCGCCGCTCACCACATCCCTCTACGGCCTCTGGGAGAGTGGGGGGTGGGGGAGCACAGGGCTCTGCATGCTGCCCATGCCATGCCTCCAGGTACCTCCCCTGAAGCTCCCATTGGGTTCCCCGTTCCCAGCCAATGGGAGCTGCGGAGGCGGTGCCTGGAGGCGAGGGCAGCACACGGAGGCCTCTACCCTGCCTCCCCCTGGGCCCCAGGGACGTGGTGCCAGCCACTTCTGAGAGTGGCGCGGGGCTCATGGCACCACATGGGGCAATCCCGCAGGCCGGACCCAAAGCCCTGACGGGCCGGATCTGGCCCACGGCCGTAGTTTGCCCACCCCTACTGTATGGGGACTGGTCCCAACAAAGTAATGGCCTGTGATGTAACGCAGTAGTTCTCAGTCAGGGGCCCAGGGCAGAAAGCTGAAGCCTGAGCAATGTAGCTTCATTGGGGCCCCCAGACAATCACCCGGCTTGCTACCTCCTAACGCCGGCCCTGGCTTTTATATGCAGAAAACCAGTTCTTGTGACACAGGTGGGCCACTGAGTTTTTATAGCATCTGGGGAGGGGAGGGGGCTCAGAAAGAAAAAGGTTGAGAACCTCTGCTGTGCCGTACCCAATGCAATGTATGAGCAAATGCATATAAAGGAAGAGGGCTTCTGCATCACTTTGGATCACTGAGCGTGAGTCTGATCAACTCAGAACTGCTTTGTTGTATGTTGCATAAAGGTACATGAGTAACGAAATCTGGGGTTGAACTGAATTCTTGGGAAGCCGAGGGGAAAGGGCTTGGAGGGAAGCCCAACGGGGTCAATCCGGTGGCTAAATTGACAGCCAGCTGCATCATTACTGTGAGGTGGTTAAGCTAGCAGGTAACCAGACTAGCTGTGGGCTCTTACTCCTGACAGGTGTCCAAACCAGAAAATTAAAAATAAACAAAACAAAACTGGATTTGGTTCAAACCGAAACTGATGGTTTTTGGCTCATTGAAACGAACCTCCAAAAACTCCATTCCGGTCAAACAGAACATTTCAAATGAATTCAAAATGACATTAACTATCGATTCCCAATGAAGAGACCGGATGGGTGAGGTAATATCTTTTATTGAAAAAAGAAGAACAGGAGTACTTGTGGCACCTTAGAGACTAACAAATTTATTAGAGCATAAGCTTTCGTGGACTACAGCCCACTTCGGAAGCGTATGTATGTACCTCTTTTGGTCGCCCTTTTTTGCCTCCAGGATTGGCCCTTTCCACTGTTTGGCTTGCATCCCCTTGTGTTCCCTTTTTTCTTGTGCTTATGCTCATGTTCTGGTGCTAGGAAGGAAGAGAGAACATCAATGGAAGTAGTCTCAACAAGCGATCTGATATTGGGGTCCCCCGCGACCCATGCGCTAAGAACTTCCGCTTCGAATTTCTCAAGGCCCTGGCGTAGAGGTCCTTGATTGTTGGCCCTTAAGCAGTTAGTAATTGTGCGCATATAGCTGTTCTTGAGCCCAGTAGTGGAGATGGGCGTATCAGATTGTACTTCCAGATTGTGTTTCTGTGCTCCAGGTCCTGAGTCAGCGATCCCAGATGTTTCTTTTCTGTAGAGGTTAAGCAAGCGTCGTTTTTCACTTACTTGTTTCGCAGTTTTGGTCTTTATTGCCTCAGCAATTAACTTGTTAATGTACTTTTCGCCCGAGTACATTTTGTCAAAATCGGTAAGGAGCAACTCTTCCTCGGCCGACCAACAACTTTTGTGTTTTCCACGCTGCGAGTTTTGTTTAGGTTGACTGGCTAGGATTCTCTCTGCGTTTCGTACCACAGGGTGGGCTCGACTCTTATGTTGAGAGAGGCCTGATTTAGTGCCAAACCGCCTGGCACATACCTCACAAGCCCAGTCACCAGCTGGTTCTTGGGAGAATTCCGCATCTCTCCAATTGCAGGGGATTGGGTATATTACCCTGGGAGCTGGCCTCTCCCACTCATTTAGCAGTTCGAGGGCACGCTGTGGTAGTCTGTGATCAATAGTCACAGGATCTGTTATTGCAGGCATAGTATCTTGGGTCCCACCTGCAGCCAGCCACAGGCTTTGGTACTCACTCTCAATGTCATTAGCCAATGCGATGAACCGAATTGTCATGTCTTCCGAGTGTGCAATTCTGTGTAACCGCCTTGCCTGAATAGATGGGATGAGACTAGCGAGCCTTGTTACTCCCAGTCCTCCATCCCTGGATCTTGTGTAAAGGAAGCTATTGCAGGTGTCGGCCGGTAGATGCAGCCACTCTTTGACGGCCCTTCTTTTATCTTTTATTGGACCAACTTCTGCTGGTGAGAGAGACGCGCTTTCGAGCCACATGGAACGCTTCTTCAGGTCTGGGAAAGGTCCTTCGAGCGGCACAGCTCAAAATGAACCGTTTTGACCATTCCGAAATTTTAGTTTTGGGGGATTTTTATGGCCAAAACTATTCACTGAATTGGTGGACAAATCGGAGAGAGTCCCGAGGAGAGGAACAAAAATGATTAAAGGTTTAGAACACCTGACCTAGGAGGACAGGTTGAAAAAATTGGGCATGTGTAGTCTTCAGAAAGGAAGCTGAAGGGGGGACCTGATAACAGTCTGCAAATATGCTAAGGACTGTTATAAAGAAGATGGTGATCGATTATTCTGCCTGTTCAATGAAGGTAGGACAAGAACTAATGGGCTTAATCTGCAGCAAGGGAGGTTTAGGTTAGTTATTAGGAAAAACTTTCTAACTATAAGGGTAGTTAAGCTGTGGAAAAGGTTGTAGAATTCCTGTCATCGGAGGTTTTTCAGAGCAGGTTGGACAAACAACTTTCAGGGATGATCTAGGGTTACTTGGTCCTACCTCAGCGTGGAGGGCTTGACCGGAATTTGCAAATAGTTTCAATGCCCCAAAAAATGCATTTGGGGGGAGGGAGGGATTTACTATCCGCCAAAAAAAAAAAATTCTCACTTCTATAATCACAAATCTTTTCCACATCACAGAGTTCAATATGAGCTACAACAGAGGGTGAGATGTTTCAAGGGTGAAATTCACATTTAAAGAACCTCCCCTTCCTCCTGCGAAAAAAAACCCTATGTTTTCTGCAAGATTCTCGGAGAGCAGAATATGCATAAAGCCATCATTACAAAATCACGAGATTATCACCAGATTAGAACAGAACTGGAGGCAATTACCCCTCCTTGGATGGATCCTGAGAAACCCAAATTGGGGGCATCCTGGCTTCATTGCCAGGACCGTTAACACATTAGTTACAGAAGGCAGCAGTGAGACTCTTAGAGTTTCAGTTTCATTTCCAGGATGGAGCTGTAGATCTGAGGGCTCATGGGCACAAAACGTTTCTCCGATTCATCCAGGAAGAACAGGGGGTCCTTGATGAGAGCTGGATTGAACCCCTCCTTCACCAGCTGCCCTTTGCACTGCTTGAACGTCCCCGTGACCTCCAGAGCGTCCTGTGTAACAAAACATACAAAGTGCTGCAGGAGCTGGCTCACTCTATGCCACATAAGAGGATAAGAGTCTACTGCAGCTGCCTGCTAGTGGAGTCGCTCCTTTAGCTCAAAGAGGCAGAGGCGGATGCTTTTAGCTCTAGAATTTTAGCTTTGTCCCTGGTCATTCCCCATTGGAGGAGGGGAACAGCATTACTCCGAGCACTGGCTGGTATAGCTATGCCAGCAGAGCTCCCGAGTGGAGATGCAACAGAAGAAGTTCTGCCAGTGCTGGACCAGGTTACCTAGATAGAGAGCTGATTGGTTAAATCTAGTCTCAGATGATGTACACATCAGTAGCTTTTACTTGTAAACAGGTAGGGTATACAAAGACAGCGTTACGGGGGTAACTCGGGAACACAATTTCTGTGTAAGGTGAATGTAAGAGGGGATGGATCCCTCGATAAATTGCCCTGTTCTGTTCATTCCCTCTGAAGCATCTGGCCCTGGCCACTGTGGGAAGACAGGATACTGGGCTAGATGCAATGCTGCATGAGATGGTTTTCCGGAGATTGGTATCACACCGAACCTTTTCCTTGTACTGTGGCAATAAACCTGACTGACATTGGTTATTTGGCCTCTTGACTATATTCCATAACGAACCACAGTGTGATCAAGCCTTTGCCCCTACAATTTACCAACCAAGTCAGGGTCCTCCAGCCCCCTCACCCGCCCCCGAGGCTTAAAGGGCCAGCCAAAAGGATCTCTGACCTGCAGGCGGACAAAGCGAGGAATGGCGTAGTTTGGCAAGAAATCCTTGGCGTGTGTGTAGAGTTTTTCACCATCAAAATCCATCCCCTCCTTCAGTCGTATTGCTGCCATTCCAATCTTGCCTTCGTGTCCTGAAGCACACACACAAAGCGTCGGGCTTTATCTAGATTAGGTGTTTTAAGGTGTTATGTGAAGCAGGCATTAGCTGGCACAGGTTAACTTTGGCTCTGTCTACACTGCCCAGTTATCCTGGGTCTGAGCAACTGGGTGAGAGCCTCTCTACTGCAAAGCCCTACCTGACTTACTGTCTCTGCACTCACTCATGTCTGTGTCTGGGGGCACAGCCCATGGTTCTTTGCGCTCGGACGCTCTAGGCTTCTTTCCCAATCTATAGCATCAGTGGCAGGAAAGCTCGTCTGTCCTTTGGGGGGGAATTGTGGGAAGGGCATTGGAGGACTATCCATATTCAAGTGATTTAGCCTCACTGGAAAGCAGGCAGGTTCCAACCCGAGTGAAAGCAGAGCCCGGGTTCTAACCCGACCCTGCAGCTGGGTCAGTGAGCCCAGACTGAAAGCACTTCCGGACCCAGGCCAGAGATTTTTTTCTGTGTGAACTGGAGAGACTTTTGAGCTAAAACCAGGGCGGGAGCCCAGGTTAGCTGGGCAGTGTAGACATACCCTATGAGGTGCTAACATAACGCCTGGATATCCTAGCCTAGGTGAGGCCGGGTGATAGATTTTAAGCTCAAAATGAAAATTATAACTATCTAGTCTGATCTCCTGAGAAAAATGGGCCAGAGAATTTTACCCACCATAGAATATCAGGGTTGGAAGGGACCTCAGGAGGTCATCTAGTCCAACCCTTCGCTCAAAGCAGGACCAATTCCCAGACAGATTTTTATCCCAGTTCCCTAAATGGCCCTCTTAAGGATTCAACTCACAACCCTGGGTTTAGCAGGCCAATACTCAAACCACTGAGCTATCCCTCCCCTCCAAAATGCTTACTTCCCTGAGTAGGAATCGAACCCAGGCTATGGTAGTGAGAGCACCAAATCCTAACCACTAGACCACAACTTCTCTTTAAGTTATGGCAGGTACTTTAGAAAGAGACACTTAGACTTCAAGTGATGGCGGCTTGACCACGTCCCTAGACCAGTTGGTCCACGGGCAAATTCCCTTCACACTTAAACATTTGCATCTTATCACTCGCCTGAGTTTGTCTAGCGTCCAGCCATCGGTGGAGCCTTGTGGTGCTAGATGAAAGAGCCATATCATGTAGGAAGTTGTAGGCTTTGCTCATGGCACCTATCTCTTGGATAAACTCAGCAGACGGAGTTGTTTTAGTCTCTCACTATAAGGCTGGTTTTCCAGGCCTCAGATCATTGGGTTGGACCAGAAACAATTTTTTTTATTGTATTTTTCAGAACTGCCAGTGAACTAAAACCTCCACTATTTGCACAGCTCTAATGACCACAGGCTGAGGCCTGGGCATAGATTGTTCACGGAAGGATCCGTAGATTTTTCAGGCTGCTCTGAGCATCAAGCCTCACCTCCTGAATAACACAGCGATTTCTGCAGTGGAGAGAACTATTCCTCCATGCTTTGCACGGCTTTCTTCCATCCCAGGGTCCCTCCCCGCGCAAAGAAAGACTCAGACCCCGACACAGACATGCTACGCAATGGCTTTTAAAAGCCGCCTCAGGACGGACGCTCTTGGGGTGAGCCACAGTGTCAAAGTGACATGATATGTCCTGCTGCTGGGTACGCACCTGGGACCGGCACCCCGTAGACGTTGACTTCCTGAATGAACTGCACTGCCACCAGCGTCGTCTCCACCTCCGTCGTGGCAACGTTCTCTCCTTTCCAGCTGAAGAGAGAGAACAGAGGAATCTATTTTTCCATCCATCCATCCACCCACATTGATCAATAGATTTCAAGGCCAGAAGGTGCCTTTGTGATCATCTAGACTAGCCTCCTCTAGGCTTAGAAGGTAAATGTTGGTACACAAACTGATGAAAAAACACACATACACACACCAACCAACGAAAAAATATTTCCATCGATAATCATCTAAATGTACAGATCGGCAAATTAAGAATAATGCTGCTTCTTAGAATCACAATCCAGTGATGTAGCCTTTTGAAATGGATGAACAATAAAACCAGGCATTATTTGTTGATTTAAGGAGATTTACATGTAGATTTTGACATGCGATGTTGGTCATTTGTTTTTTAGTGGTTTAGAACGATTTTAACTTTTTGAACCTCAACATCTACTGACACTAAATAATTGTCTGACCCTCCCCCCTGCAGGATTTTGTTCAGCTGTGAAAATGTACATGGATAAACATCTAAAAAAAAGGCTTTAAAAGACACATCTCTAACATCCGTTGACATTATAAAAAAATAATAATTGAATTCTGCCAGGCCTCACTATGGTTTAACGCCTTCTGTCGGCATACGCTGTGTCTCCACCAGGGGGCTCTGCTGTCCTAGCGATACCAGTAAAGCATGTGCTGTAGACAAGCCCTAAGTTGCTTTTCAAAATAACACTTAGGGTATGTCTACACAAGCACAAAGAGACCCACAGCAGCAAGTTTCAAAGCCCAGGTCAACTGATTCGGTTTCAGGGGGCTAAACATAGCCACGTAGATACTTGTGCTCAGCTGGAATGGGGTGAGAGGCGAGGGTTTCAGAGCCTGGGTTCCAGCCCGAGCCCGAATACCTACACTGCTATTTTTCGCCCGGCAGTGTTAGCTCTGCAAGCCCAAACCAGTTGATCTGAGCTCTAAACTCAGTGCCACAGGGTGTGTATTTTATTTATTTATTCAAATATTTATTTATTTATTTTTGCTCTGCACACACAAGTCACGCCTAAGTTACTTCGGTGCTTTTGACAGTTTTTCCCCTGGACTTTGTTTTATCTTCTATGGCTGATGCATCCACCTCCTGCTTGCATTGGCCTATGGGATTTAGGCACACAAGAGCAATCTGAGTTAGGCTCCTTTGAAAACCCAGCCAGACCTAGACAGTAAATTCTTTGACTCCTGGACCATCTTTTTGTAGCAGAGGGGAGGCAGCATGGCCAGGTGGATGTGGCACCCTACTGGGACTGGGACTGAGACGACCTAGGTTTTGTTCCCAGGTCTCTTGCTGGGTGACCTTGGGCCTGTCACATCCCCGTTCTGTGCCTCAGTTTCCCCATCTATAAAATGGAGGCAACGAGCCTTATCACCGTTGTAAATTGCTCTGTGAGAACTAGTTATTGTTATACCTGTGTGTACAGCACATCACACAATAGGGTCCCAGTCCCTTGTAGGGTTTTATAGGTGCTACCAGCATCGGGCTCCTCAGTTCATCCCACCCGGGAGGGGACAGCAGCTGGGTCAAAGGAGGGTAATGGCTTGCCCCAGAACCTACCGGAACGTGTCTCCCACCCGGTCCTGGAAATATATGAAGCCCTCGTGGTCCATCATGAGGAGGTCTCCGCTGTTGAAGTAGAGGTCTCCTTTCTTCATCACATTCCTCAGGATCTTCTTCTCCGACTTCTGGCGGTCTCCCGCGTAGCCATTGAATGGGGTGTTCTTCGTTATCTTCACCACCAGCAGCCCTGCCTCACCTGGAAGGGAGAATGAGAATCCCGATGGATATCCCCCTACGTAGCCCAGTCCATCCCGGCCAGTTTTCAGGGTCCTCCAATTGGCGTAGGTAATCCACCTCCATGAGAGGAGGTATCTAGCTTGATGGAAGGGTCTACACCACTGTCTACACCGGTTTAACTATGTCGCTCAAGGGGAGTGGCTTTTTCACACCCCTGACCTATGTAGCTGGGTCATCCTAACTTTTTTAGTGTAGGCCCGGCCTAAGAAAGTTTCACCTACTGTAAATAAACGTGAGTCATCATGCCAGGAAAAAGACACAAAAAGGGGGGAAAAGCTTGTGCCTGAGGGTTTTTTTATCCAGAAACTGGGGGGCAGCCTAAGCGGGAAACTGTCCGTGAAACACTGGATCTCCTCAAAGATGACGGGGGTACGCTGGGAACCCGTTCAGAGGCAATAGGTAACATCTGCTAGAAAAGAGCATTTAGCTAATATAGAGGCACAAAGCCAGAAGGTGCATCCTGATGTTTAATTTTTGGGTAACTGTTACCCGGGGTCTCTTAGGGGTAACTCAACTGTCTCACTCCAGGAAGTGTCAGGAACAAATCAGTGGGGACACAGCAATTTCCACCGGATAAATGATTGATACAAGCGAGCATGCTCTTATCTAAAACTACTATTTATTAGCTATTAAGCGCACACACACACACATAGGCAATAGGTTTAGGACATCCCAGATATAGTTACTCACAGTCTGATATGGTTTTGAGTAATCACCAGCTGGACTTCCAAGGGGCCCTCTTTCCCTCCATAGAATCAAAGAATCATAGAAGATTAGGATTAGAAGAGACCTCAGGAGGTCAGATAGTCCAACCCCCTGCTCGAAGCAGGACCAATCCCCAACTAAATCACCCCAGCCAGGGTTTTGTCAAGCCTGACCTTAAAAACCTCTAATGATGGAGATTCCACCATCTCCGTAGGTAACCCGTTCCAGTGCTTCACCACCCTCCTAGTGAAATACTGTTTCCTAATATCCAACCTAGACCTCCCCCACTGCAACTTGAGACCATTACTCCTGGTTCTGTCATCTGCCACCACTGAGAACAGCCGAGCTCCATCCTCAGGTAGTTGAAGGCTGCTATCAAATCCCCACTCACTCTTCTCTTCTGCAGACTAAATAAGCCCAGTTCCCTCAGCCTCTTCTCGTAAGTCATGTGCCCCAGTCCCCTGATAATTTTCGTTGTCCTCCACTGGACTCTCCAATTTGTCCACATCCTTTCTGTAGTGGGGGGCCCAAAACTGGATGCAATACTCCAGATGTGTCCTCACCAGTGCTGAATAGAGGGGAATAATCACTTCCCATGATCTGCTGGCAATGCTCCTACTAATACAGCCCAATATGCCGTTAGCCTTCTTGGCAACAAAGACACACTGTTGACTCATATCCAGCTTTTCATCCACTGTAATCCCCAGGTCCTTTTCTGCAGAACTTCTGCTTAGCCAGTCGGTTCCCACCCTGTAGCAGTGAAGGGGATTCTTCCATCCTAAGTGCAGGACTCTGCACTTGTCCTTGTTGAACCTCATCAGATTTCTTTTGGCCCAATCCTCCAATTTCTCTAGGTCACTCTGTATCCAATCCCTACCCTCCAGCGTATCTACCTCTCCCACCAAATTAGTGTCATCCGCAAACTTGCTGAGGGTGCAATTCATCCCATCCTCCAGATCATTAATAAAGATGTTGAACAAAACCGGCCCCAGGACCGACCCCTGGGAAACTCTGCTAGATACCGGCTGCCAACTAGACATAGAGACATTGATCACTACCCATTGAGCCCGACAATCTAGCCAGCTTTCTATCCACCTCATAGTCCATTCATTCAAGCCATACTTTTTTAACTTGCAGGCAAGAATACTGTGGGAGATCGTATCAAAAGCTTTGCTAAAGTCTAGATATATCACGTCCACCGTTTTCCCCCGTATGAAAGGAGACTAAAGGAGTTGTTTAGTCTGACCAAATGAAGGTTGAGGGGGGATATGATTGCTCTCTTTAAATATATCAGAGGGATAAATACCAGGGAGGGA